AGGCTATTTATCAAGTTGCATTAATCATCGCTTAATCTGGGAAATGCCGTACTATACGGGAGAATTTAATCAAACCATCAATATCAGCATTTAAAACTGTTCTAGAAAAAGATGACAAAGACGTTAAAACTATGCCACTAAATAATAATACTGTTTGCAGAAGAAAGATTAAATGAGTGAGGATATTGAAATACCACTTGTTGAAAAGCTGAAAACAAGAAAATTTTCGGTGCAAATGGATGAACCAATTTTGAGAGACAGTGAGGCCGTACTAGACTTGTGTAAGATATATTCATATAGAGGATTTTGCCGAAGAAATGTTCTGTAAATCATTAGAAAGAACCACTACCTCCAAAGATATTTATAGTAAGCTAAAAAATTACTTAGATATAAAAATATAATATATCCTGTACTGCAGATGGTGCTCCTAATATGATGGTTGAAAAATAAAATAAAGCACGGAATAAGAAAAAGGGTTGCCTAAAATTGATAAAAGATTAGAATCCAGAAATGCTTCTTGTGCATTGTGTTATTCATAGAGGAAACCTGGTAGCTAAAAACAATTCGCCTGTTCTAAATGAAGTACTAAATTCAGTTATAAAGTGTATCAATGCTATTAAAGCTAGGGCCAAATGTGAACGTCTTTTCAAGTTATTTTATGAAGAACAAAATGAAGACTATATGAGACTTGTTCTTCTCACTGAAGTAAGAAAGCTGTCGAAAGGGAACTGCTTGGAAAGATTTATGAAACTATTTGATACTCTTAGTTATTTTTAAGCGACAAACCTGAAATGCAAAATCCGTTAACGGATGATAACAGGGCAATTTTGAGTTATTTAGCCGATATCTTTGAAAAATTAAATATATTAAATAAATAACTTCAAAGATCAAATAAAACTTATGATGCAAAAGGAAGATATTTGGTTTCATTATCTTTGTTGAATTATGTCAGGCATATACTATTTACCACAAAAATTTTGAAAAGTCTCATTGGCTCCAAACATGTGACGTGACTACTGCTATACTTGTTATTGATAACGCTATACTTGTTATTATCGATCATCTGAAAATTTTATCGGCTGATTTAAAAGATTTTGTAACTTAAAACAAATTGATTTTCCAACTTGGATGATGCTGCCAATGCTAGTGGATTTGGCTGATATTTCAAATATGCGGTAAAAAGAAGAACTCGTAGAAATGCAAAATGGTGAGTCAATTAAAACTTTATTTAATATAAAAGGAGCGATGACGTAGCTTTGTAAGGAAACCAGAATCAGATATCCAAATGCAACAAAATTTGCAAGAGAACTTTTGTTACCGTTTCCATCTTCATATTTTGCTGAATGCGGATTTAGTGCCATAAATGATTTTGCTGCTGAAACCAAGAGACTTGAGACTCAGGTTATCTAAATTGGAATCTGACATAAAATTTCTTTGCGCAAGTATCAAGCGCAAAGAACTCGCTAAATTTGAATAATAAAAATTACTAATACTTAAAGTAAAAAAAAACTTTCACTAAAATGGGTTTTTCTCGAATTTCAGTTTTCCATGTTTTGAAAGTTCACTTACTATGCTTGCTCACAAAATTTCGTAGTCATTTCTTCCTAAAAGCTATCATTCAAGTTTCTTTCGTGAAAATTTCAATTTTTAAATATTAAAAATATTAAATATTAAAAATTATGTATATGCTAGGGGGAGCTTAAACATTTTAGAGAGGATTAGGTGGGGCATAGCACAAAAAAGGTTGGGAATGGAATATTCAGTTATGGCAAAGCACACGAGGGCGATCTGCCGAAAGGGAGGGATGCCTTTCGTGGAGGACTTTCTAAGGGAAACTGGCTCGTATACACGTTACACATAGGGAAAACCGCCAGCCCGTTCTCGGGATTCGAACTTCAGACCGAACTACAGTGTTCAGCGTCTTTACCGCTCGGCCGCTGGTGGGCTCAAAAACGGTTGGGAAACACTGATTTAAAGTATCTTATAGGAAATAAGTTCCAAATTATTAATTTCAAAAAACAGAACCTTCGGCATTCACAACAGATTTAGCAAAATCTCTCATTATATTGGACGCATTTTAGTGGATTAATATTACATGGAAATAAACTAAGCAGAAAAAAAAATATAAATTGTCTTTCATCTGGTTTATTAAAATTTGTGTAAAATTTACTTTTGAAGTTGATAACGATTCTAAAATTAGCTTCAACCATAAGTAACACTTTGCCCAAATAGTATTTTGGAAAAAAATGTTGAGTGGGAAAACGAAAAATTAGATGAGAAAAATTACAAACAGTGCATTAATTTAGATCAAACATTACTTAGCTATAGTTAAGCATGTAATATGCAAAATATTTAATGGAATTTTGTATTCATCATAATAATAATGAATTCTTCACTTAGAAGTTCACTTTTGAAATCGCACTGTAAATACAAAATGCCAACAGAAAAAATTATCACTGATTATTTTTAACCAACGTAAAATGCAGGTTATTAATTCACATTAATTTATAGTATATGAATCATTATAAATAGCTTTAATAAATTTTTAAATTAAAAAGTTTTAATAAATTTTTGAATTATTAACATGTTTTTTACTTTAATAAAAAAGGATTAAAACAAAACTTTTAATTCTATATAAAAGTAAACGATAACTCTTTTTGATAATCCCTGACTTGAGGACATCTCTTAAAAACACTTACTTGAATTAAGTAAGTGTCCTTACTTAAGAATACTTACTTAATTCAAATAAGTATTCTTAAGTAGGAGGACAAATAATGAGAATAATGAGAGGACAAGTAATTGAATTAAGTAAGTACTTGAATACTTACTTAATTCAAGTAAGTACTTATAACGAAAGTAAATGATAACTGTTTTTGATAATCCCTGATTTGAGGACATCTCTTAAGAACACTTACTTGAAGCCCATAATTTTCTTTAAATGAAAAGCTACTCTGTCATTATAAAAAATGTATACATGAGCAATAATTAAAAAAATAAATACATGCCAAAATATATTTGTGAGACTTATAATGAGTATATTTAAGCAAAATATTAACTTCCGTTAAAAGTAGTATAGCTCTCAATACGTTGCGTTCTACCGTCACATCTCAGTGAAGATAAACTATTATGCAAAAGCATATTAAGGAAAAAACTGTATTTCCGACATAAGTATAATACAATAATTAAATATATGTTGTAGAAAAAGAATTTAATTCTTGAAAGTTAAAACTAGAATTCAAATCATAAGGAATTAAACAAATATTATAATTTTGTAACGAAACTGTCTGATATTTGCCATTTGATTTCTGATAAGAAATAAGTGTTCCTTTTTATCCATATGTATGTGCTGCTATGATAGCTTCAACCGGTATAATATAAAAATTGTGAATGTTCCGGAAGTGGGCACGATTGGAGTGCCAAATCAATTGTGGCCATAAAATGTGAATTTAAATAAATGTGGAATTTGATTCGGCTCGACTGTTTCTTCTTCAAAATGGATGGATGCTCTAAGTATCAAGTATCTTCGCAGTCAACATTTCTAAGCATCTGTGCTATCATTACATGTATATAATATGTTATTGCTGATTTTCACTCGTCTGACGTATAGTCAGCCCAAGCCTGCGAAATTCCTTGTGGCAAGGAGAGCAAGATTACGCCTCTCGTTGGCAACAGCCTTGAGCACCATACAGGTGACAGTGGGATTTAGCTCAGTTCCGCCCCCAATTTTGACGGAGCCCCAAATTTTGATTTTAGCATACCGAGGGAGCGGGTACGAGGGTCTCGACCACTCGGACCACATGAGAGGACTTTCGACTCGCTATATATTTAGAGCGCCCTCATGCCGCACGAACACTATACATTTACGAACATCCATGCCTTCTCCGGGATTCGTACCTGGGCCCTTCGACACGGCAGTCAGCGACACTAACCACTATACCAGTTGAGCGACATATATATGATATGCATTTAATCACATAATTTACAATATGTATATCTATTTATGTTGACTCGAAACTGCATTTCGGAAAAGCGAATAAAATTAATCACAAATTCTAAATATATTAATGATAAAATTCTATTTCCTTTCGCAATAGAGCACTGTCATAAGCTTTTTTTCCATTGTGTAGCTTAAATGGTAAAAAATTATAAATGAAAGATATTAAAAGATTAAGTAAAGGAATATATTATTTAATTAAATAATCATTAAAAGATTTTAATAAATAATGCGATAATTTTAAGACAGGATTTATTTGCGTATGCATAATTTGAAATTAATATGGAAGGACTATTTCAAAGACTTGCAGGAAAATATTTTGTAAAACTGGCATGCATTTGCATTCCAAACTATTTGTTTAAAATTGCACGTTATTTACGAAATCTAAATTGCGTTTGCTTTACATCATTGTAAAAAAAAAAAAAAAAAAAAAAAAAAAAAAAAAAAAATCATGGTTTGCATTAAATTATTTCACAAACTATGCAAAAGGGATATGTATTTCAAATTACAAATCATTGAAAACCAAATCGCATTTTCTTATATTATTGTAAAACAAAAGTACTTGCATATAAGTTTCTTAAAAAATAATAATCCTGAACACAAAAGTAACTGCTCTCAATATTAGTAAAAAACACTAATTATTCGAGCTCTTTCTTTAAATGTTTTCATATTCTGATTGCATCTATTATTAATTAAATGTTAAGTAGACATCACAACTGAAAGCGTAGAAAGATAACCGAAAAGCAAGTAAGACAAGTCAATAAGACATCAAATGTCCACGTCACTTTTAACAATAGCTATAATAAACCTATTCGAAATGGAAACAGGAGCATGCCAATCAAACAATTTCTGCTCTCCCAACGTACGATCTATCCGCAGAGCAAATAAATAAATAAAATAAAAATCAACTCATCCTTCAATACTTCTTACAATCTGCGATACCTTCTGTTACTATGAAAGAGAGGAAAAGAAAGAAACGGGGGGAGCATTTCTCTTGCCGATAAAGACCACTATTATTGCAGATCAGCGGGGTGGACAAAAAATCATGGAGGAGGTTCCCGAGCTTTTGACGCACCCCCCAGCCGCCATCGGGATTGGCTCGGAAGCCGGCGAATAGCTGGTCTCTACCTCAGACCCACGTGCAATTCAAAAGGTTACCCGCATCTTGATCGCCTTGCTTTCATCCTCTCCGCTGCGCAGAAGCGGGGAAGCATCAACCGGCAGATAGATCGGAATTGCTCACACAGCTACCTTTTTACTCCTGAAACAAAAGCAATAATTTTTTGTATGGAAACAAACAACTGTTATACCGTATATTCCTGTGATTATCAATTGGTGAATGAACATACGTATGACATTATAATCGATATGAGCTCATTTTGGAGGAACAAAGTCTAGTGAGTGCCAAGGAAAACATTTCGCAATGAACTTCTTTGACGCAATGCTTTTGAAGCAAAAAACTTAATTATATGTCTTCTTAAATGATGTGTACTTAAGGGATAAAAGACATCGATTCTGCTTATGTAAAAATAATTGGAAAGTTTTTCTAAAACAGCTCAGATTAGGTTTTTTTTCCTTTCTAATTTAATTTCATGTTTAATTCTTTCTGCATGAAATAATTCAGTTTTAAATTTTTTAAAGTACTGAGTGATAATTCACTGATTAATTGCAGTAAAAAAAATTCCTATAAAAGGAAAAATACATCCATGAAGTAACCGATTTCTATAAAAATTGGCGCAATTTATTCACACATTTCCAGAAATTTAAATCATCTTGAAGAAGAAATATAAAGCAATGACAATCTACTGTTAAATTATAACTCATAAATAGTAGTGAAAGCAAATAAATTTTTAATTAAGCTCAGAAGAAATTAAAGAACAAGCATATAAAACTTTATATTTACATGATCTTCAGCTGATTACTTCAAGAAAGACTAACAGCAAGATAATATTAACAATGTAAAACCACGGGGAACTGTATAATTTGCAACTGGCCATCATGTCAAGCGTTAAAATTGATGAACCTAGTTCCAAATCTTCTCCCTCTCCAGCTTCTCCGGACAGTCGAGATCCTGCCGATCCATCAGCAACCGTTGTACCATCCAACAAAGTACCATCCATGGGACTTATGTCCGAAGAGGCAAAGCCTCGATTATCAGCTTTTACACCTGTGTCTGCTGGTCATCAAATTCCCAATCTCCCTGGACTCACACCTTCTTTGGTAGGACTATCCGAATATCTAAACTCAAGAATGTTGCCCTTCGCCAAGTTTGCAGACTTGGCAGCCAAATCTCAAGCTGAAAGTTCTAGTCTATTAGCAGGAAGGTCATCTGTTGTTGGAGGTTCCAGCACTGAAGGATCTGCGGCAGCAGCAGACAATTTTCCTCCGGTGTTTCGTCCTATGTTTCCACCCGGCGGACTCTTTCCTGGAGCTGATACAGCTCTGATCTACAGAGGTCTTGGAGAGTTTCCATTGGCACCCACTGGCTTACCAGCTTTTTGTAAGTCTAAAATCTTTGTCTTTTATTTTCATCTTACATTAACTGTAAATTGCTGTAATCAATCTAAATATTTTTATTCGTAATGTTAGGAAATCATATAATTTACTTATATACTAATAGGTATATGAAGTACACAAGATATATAACTTTGATTTCTTTAACTAAATTAATCAAGAAAATCATAAAATGCTCTGTATTTGTCACAGATACATTTCATAAAGTATTTTAATTAAATTGTGTAATCACTATGGAAAATCATCATTTTTAACAATTTTTTTCATACCATTTACTCCCACAATGATATTTATTGTAATTTAAAAGGGAAGATGAATTCATTTTAATAACTGAGTATCTGAAATTTGATTTTTTATTATTATTTATTTTGGAATGACAACTGAACCATTTAAAACATGACATCTCTATATATACATTCATGTACTTCCAACATATTTTTAAACAAAGTAATCAGAAAGATTTTTCACTGGTAGTTAATATACTAAATCAATAGTACATTATTGGCATATTAATGTTTATTAAAATTATGACAGCATTTTCCCTTTTGTTTTAGAGGAGATGATTACGAAAATCTTGATAAGGATAAACTTTTCAAATGCTTGATAAAAACATGACTTCTCAATATTTTATTATCAAAAATCCGAGAGTGATAGATACAAACTAGCTTAAGGATAGTAATTCCTTAAATTCTGTTTAATCTTCTGATTATTATTTTTTAATTAGCTACGCATTAAGCTGCACCTTAGCTACACATATGAAATAGGTTTTGTGATTATATAGCATAGTCATGAGGAAATATGTTTTGCGATTATTTTATCCATGCAGCATAAATTTACGACGAATTTTTAATTTAAAGATTCAACAGGAAGGCCACGTTTTTTCTAACTTAGAAAGTAAAAATTGCATAAAAGAGAACTGATGAAGTTCTTAATGCAGATACGTTGTTTCATTAGAAAACGTGCTCGATTTTTTTCAGCCGAAAAATTGCTTCTTACAAACTATTTTAGGAATATTTTACATTTACGCAATGTAGCATAAATTTAATGATATATACACTATACGTTATACACAAATATTAAAACATCTATTTATTACTGCTAACTTTTTGACCGGAAAGATGAGAGAAAGGAAAAATATTACATGAATCTGAAAAAAAAAAAAAAAAAAAAAAAAAAAAAAAAAAAAAAAAAAATGAAAAGGAAATTATTTAATTTTTCAATTGTTAGTCCTGTGTAAAATGCTACCAAATTTAAAAATTTTCCCCCAAATTTACTCGAACTTGCAATTTATACCTATGAACTATATAATTTCTGAAATAAAAATTGCACATTACCGCTAGCTTTCTAAGATGATTTGTTAAATGCAAATTGTAGTTCGTTAATGCAGTTTCAAAATCTTTTCCTGTTTGTAGTAACACTTTGGCTTGAATATAATTCAATTTTTTTTAATTAGTTTATTAGTACAAATGTTTTGTGATAACGAAAATAAAACAAAAAATCTAATTTAGAATAAAAAATTGTTGATGATAGATATATTGCATATATATAGCCTATATTCATTATTAATACTGATGAATTTTAATCATACGTTACATATTTTTCCCTGATACTGTTGGATTCTCTTTTACGTTTGAGCATACTGGGAAGGAAAAAATTAATACAAATTATTTAAAAAGAGAAGTTCTATTCTGAAATATAAAAATTACTGAACGTTTATGAAGTGAAAAAGCACTTTTATGTAATCTGAATGAACATAAGGATTTCAAAATATGTTGAGATTAACTGGTAAATGTAACAAGCTGCAGACTGAATCTTTAATTACAGACATGATAAGAGTTACTAAAAGTTCTTCAGTGTGATAATTTGAAATGTGCTTTTAAACATACTGTAATTCTTGTTAATACCAAAGTAATAATAGTAAAGATAATAACAATAGTAATAATATTGTAATAACAATAGTAATAATAATTAAAAACAATCTTTGCTGTTGTTAAAGAACTTTAATCTCGACTAACATGAAAGAAATTTATGTTTAGCAAACTTTTCTTTTAACTTGAATGTACGCAATTTCGTTTTTTTTTTTTTTTTTTTTTTTCATTTTCAGAAAGAACGAAGACTATATTTGATCTGTTAGCTACTATTTTGTTTGGATAATTTCTATACGTATGAATTCAATTAGTGTAGTGAAAAAGGTAGGAAAAATGCAGTTGTCCAGTAAAAGATGACACAGGATGCGAAATTAAAAGATAAAAAATTAAATGTAATAGTGAAAGTGTTAAAATATATTATAAAGGCACGATTTTGATCCAAGTATTAAAACATTAAAACAGTTATAGTTCTGCCTTTGAATTGCATTTATATGTTATGGAAAACCCTGAACTTTTGCGCAGAATGGTCTTAAGCAGTTCTTGTTCTTTTACAGAATGGTCTTGGCCGAAATTCAAAATATGCAACAGTTTACCATTCTTTCGGACACTGGCCGGCCAGTTCTATGTTTAGCCGAGAGAAACTGTCCAGACTTAAAAAATTATCTTTATTTCATTTTTAATGATTATTTATAAAAAAAAACAGATGTTCTTGATGAATGAAGTGTATTTACCATTTATTGTGGTATAACTATTAAAAGCTATAGTTTATCATTAATTTGGCCCACCAGCGGCCGAGCGGTAAAGTCGCTGAACACTGGTAGTTCGGTCCGAAGATCGAATCCCGCAAACGGGCTGGCTGCATGGGTGTTTTCGTTGTTTTCCCCATGTGTAACGTGTATACGAGCCAGTTTCTCTAAGAAAGTCCTCCACGAAGGCATCCCTTCCCGTAGGCAGATAGCCCTCGAGGCTTTGCCGTAATTAAATAACCTAACCTAACCTTATCATTAATTTATCATTAATGCCATTGTTAATTATAATTAGAAGCCTCTATCACGATTTTTCTACATAAAAAATAAAATAAAATAATAAAGCATATGATTCTAAGCAGTTTTTTAAAGATTTAAAAACAGGTAAAAGTAATCTTACCTACTACGACTTGTTTTTTACTTATACTCGCTTCCGGCAGATGAAAGGTTACCACCTTTAAAAGTTGTATTTTATTATTAATTCATTAGAGCCATGATTAGTTATCATTAATATAGTCCTAATTAAAAGTGTTTATGAAGATTTTCCAGTGCTGCAAAAAAGCAAAAATTGCAATAAAGACATTTCACAAAAAAAATTAAAAACCGTTTTTCAAATCATGCAAAAATCATAAAAATAATCGATAAAAAGGATTATCATTCTTTCACTTATTTCTTTTTTTTTTTTTTCAGCACTTACTTTCTTCCGTATTTTGACATCAGTATTTTATTTTTTAATACGTTATTATGAAAAGTGAACAAGGCAGTTCTTCTCTCTTCGAGAAAATATTCATAACTCCATGCTTTACTTACTTATCTTTCAGTTTTGTCTTCTTTCTCTCTCTCTTGGGCTCTTTTCCGTGGCGCAAAGAAAACCTGCGCAGGCATTTTTAAATATGTGCTAATGATGAATAATGAGGGTGCTAATGATAAAATACAGTCAATAAATGTAATTTCGACCAGTTTCTCACGGCCAGATCTAAAACTGTCTTGTCAAAGCCCGAAAATTTGTAACTTTTTGTGTATTTCGACAACTGGGCAATACCTACGTGCCCTTCCATTTGACAAAATGGTTAACTTCGAGTTTTACGCGTATTATCTGTAATCTCTGGAAATGAAACATTTATTTTCAGAGTAAAATTCGTCACTGAGCATTAAATAGGTAAATTTAATTTTTATCCATAAAACATTTAATTATTTCATTCGTAAATATCAATTATCAACTTACTATACAAATGAAATAAATAGTAAAACAAACATTCTACTAACGCCGCACTGAGAATGAAAATGATGTTAACCTTTGATGAGACTATTAGGCTTTCCGGGATCAAAAACAAAAGAAGATCAAATGTAAATTCACCGAGAATCAAACCATGAATCCTCCAATTGTTAAATGGGTGTGTTAATCGCTACATGACAAGGGCACCACAAGAAGGAATACTGAATTTTTTGCACTGCGAATACTTTCTTTTTGTTTGCAAATGCTGTGCATATTATGTGTTCTTATACACCAAATAGAAATCGAAAATTTCTCCTACTCCATTTCCTAATTGTATTAATTTACTGGTAAATTTAATAAGTCTGAGCTTGTATTAAATTTTAATAGCATAAATTAAAGCAAACAACGTTTCAGGAAAATATATTTATAGGCTAATTGGCATATTTAAGATCTAGAATTTCTAAACTTTTTAATCTGCATTCTAGCTATGATTGAATGAAATTTGAACCGCAATTTGACAGTTAATTTTCGCCACTTTTATGTTTTCGGTACCAAATATATTCATGAAGGCAGACAGGGTTTTCTTAATGAATAAGCCATTTCTTCATATGAGCGTTTAATGTGACTGAAAACATCGCCTTGCACCAAAAATTTTTCATATTTCATAATTACGTAATGCTGTCTACCTACTTGGTTCAAGCCTTAACTTCGTCATGTTCAAACATGAATTTCATTTTCATTCTAAAAGCAATGGCTGCAACGATAGTTATATTGTACATCCTTATTCCACCGAAGCTGAAGAAGCGAAGAAGCAGGGAAAAAAAAAAAAAAAAAAACTCTCGCTATCCGTTATAGCCAAGCGACTCTCTAAAAAAGCACGCAATTAAAAATTTTGAACTAAAGGGACATTGGTCAGCTGCAATAATGAGGGGTACTATTTTACAAAAAACTATGATCATAAAGGGAAAACATCAAAAGTGAAATTTATAGTCCTACATCTTAAAAAAATGTTTCAAAATGCAAAGTTTTAACGAAGTTAAATTAGTAACTTTAGTTTACTGCCTATGTGTAAGCATCCGAGAGGTGTTATTGTAGTAGAACAGTACATGTAGGCGATCTGGTAATGAAAATGCCTGCCTAAAACGCGAGATAATAC